ACCCTGATCATCAGCTGCTGAAGCTGACTGGCACCAAGGGACTCCTAGTAGTCATCAGGAAGGTGTGTTCAAAGAATTTCCTCACAAGGGTGACCAAAATCTAATAATTTCCCCTTCCATTTACAACATATTATGAAGCACTCATCCCAAACTGGCCAACACAAGCACATTTTATCACAGCTTCCATACACACATACTATAAACCAAGAACACTCAAACCAAAGTCCAACACAGTAACAGATCAACATTTTCCTGCAGTGTATATATACATCACCTTTAAAAATAACCTTACCTTTAGGAATGTCTTGACTGAACACCTTAGCATAATACACAGTCTGTTCTCGGGAAGTGTAAGCATTCAGATGCGCTCCCATGTTCTCCACCTCCAGCTCCAGATCCATCTGTGAGCGATTCTTTGTACCCTGTGTTTAGAGTAAAATCATTTACATGTATTTCTTTCCAGACTTTAGGCTAAGATTCTGAACGTGGGTATCCAAGATGTATGCATGCCCATGCAGCTACAGACTGACTGACTGATCAATCAACAGACAGACAGATGACCGACAGAGGAGACAAAGAAAAGAGGGGAATAAAACAAACCTTGAATGCCATATGTTCAAGAAAATGTGCAACTCCATTATTCTTTTCTGTTTCAAATCTGCTACCTGCATCAATCCAAAGACCCACCTAAAAGACAAATAAAGAACAAAGCAGACACAATGTATAGACAACTATGCACACATATGGTTTGCTAATTAAGAAGTGTCTCAGCCAATTACAGTTACAGTGACTGTCATAAAATCATTAGACTGGTGTAGGGTATGACTATACAGCTAAATATTTCATGTTTATTTACGGATCGAAGCATTGTGTAGTTCCAGAAAATATCCACACCTCCCCCACGCAAGGGATTTTTTCTAACACCTCCCCATCCCTCTGGAAATTCCAGTTAAGCTTCATACATTTCTTTACATTTTTTGGTCTTCCAGAACCCCATACTCCCCAGGAAATTCCAATCCCTTCTGTGGGGGGAGTATGGATATTTTCTGGAACTGCACAATAACAAATTTCAAGATTAGAAAAGTCTTCAGAGAGTTTTTTGAGCAAAAAACTCTGTAGTGTTTGCCATAAGTTTTAACACTGTAGGAAACATTAAGAAGAAAGGCAGTAAAGCATAAGTAAGTCATCTGTGAATGGCATGGGTATCCGGTTACAAAATTTAGTTGTGACTGGATACCTGCAATTGGACACCCAAGTGACTACACGTTGAATGATGAATTTTTTTATAGCTTCTGTTATCAAAACAGTTTCTGATTTCTGATTGGTCATTCAATGACATGCACAGTCAGGGTGTAGAGTACAAAACTGAGTAATTGTATGGTCACTCAGACTTGCATTATAAATGTAGAATGAATGTATGTAATGTACAATATTACCTTAAGAGTCACCTCATACAGGTACATTGTTTGTTCCCACAGAATGAAACACATCAAGATGAAAGGAGCCTAGATTTTCAAGCCAAGGCATGGTGATGTCAACATGGAAACTATGATTGGTAGATAAGTGATAGCAATAGTTAATAAAGCAGCCTTTAACACTATAACCAGTTTTATCGTAAAAACAAAGTTAATCACAAAGTAACAGGGTGCTAAACATTTTTAGTGGGATATCAAAAATTTGAATATTATGGTAAAGGGACCCAATGGACATGTTAGCATGCAATAACTTTGATTTACACACTGAGAAAATACAGATACATAGGTATGCAAGGGATGGAGGAGTTATTTTCTGAGTGACATGTACGTACATGTAGGTGTTGGAACTGCAATGCATTGGATAAAGATGAAGTACATGTTAACTGTTTCTGTGGGGCTTAAACATAAAGTTATCGGTCTTCATACAATTAAAAATATATTATAATATTAAAAAGATATTTATTGTGTTTAAGCACCCATTACATCATACTAAAAATTGCAAATATCTGTTTCGTTTGGACTTCAACCCATGCAAACAAAATTGGTTAAAAACCATGTTTGCCTGTGTTAGTATCCTGTAATGTTTTGCGTGTTTTCTTAGCTAATGGACTTGGCAAAATGGCATCACAGAGGGTCCATTGACTATCCTTAAAAAATTGACCAGTGTTGTTATCAAAGTATCAGTCATCTCTACACCTGACAGTAACAAACTTAGGTCTTGTGGGCCTGTTGCCTTGACAACAGGCAGGTTCACCTGTAACATCAAGGTCCTATCAAATCATATTCAGCTACCTCAGCCATAATAGGTTGTAATAACCCGGAGAACTTTGGTTTCCCAACTTTCACAGTAAGAAATTTCTGTCTTTTGTGGCTGAGAGAGGTTTTGGAGTGGGCAATAGCAGTGCTTTCAGTAAGATTTGAAGTAGGNGTCTGTGTATGGTACAATTAAAAATATATTATATTGAAAAGATATTTAAAGTTAAAGCACACATCACATGATACCAAAAGTTGTTTACATGTGCATCTGTTTCATTTGGACTTCAACCCATGTGAACATTGGGCAAAACCGTGTTTGCCTGTGTTAGTATTCTGTGATGCTTTGCACATTTTCTTTGCTAATGGACTTTGCAAAATTGCATCACAGAGTGTCTGTTGATGAAGCTTAAAAAATTGACATCTAACCAGGTTATAAGAAGCAAACGTATGCACATGCTCAGACAATGGAACCCTAGAAAACGTCAGGATTGCACATTGCAATCTGGACAAAACCTAAGGTGATGAATTTGTAAATGTTAATCTTCAATGCTAATGGATTGTTGTTGCTATCTGCATGCTTCAAAGAAAGGTTACCCTGTCTGGTTGGTTTACCATTTATCTTAGACTGCAGCCTCTTGTTTCGTATTATTTTGCAGTTTTTCCAGTGCTTACAAGGCTTGAATGCTTGAATGCTCCTTTTAAATGCTTTTAAAAACCTTTCCTGTATGCATTTCTTACCAGATGGAAACAGAGAAGCAGCAATTAAGTCCACAATCATGTATTTCCTGAGATGTACATGGAAAGAAATTCACTTTGAGACATAACAGTAATAATTAACTGTAGATCCCCAAAAAGGTGAGTCATGATTTCTTTGGGTTTGGTTAGAGTTGTTATTAATAACATTGTTACTTTTGCTACCTGTACTAAGAATTATAACACACAAATGATGCTGGCAATATTAAAATGAGCAGGGAAGCTGTTGTTTCATTTTCGTTCAGCTATTTCAAGAGTCTTTTGTAACATGTATGTGACGAGATAAAATAGTCCTGCCTGGTGTACTGTTTTTGATGAATGTTTACAATGTATGTGTGGGAGGGGGGACCAAATAGCGTCACACACAAATGGGGCCATGAAAAATTTATCCCCCCGTGTGACTCAGACAAACAAACCATTGCGTGGCTTTCTTCTTTAAGAGTGACGTGTGGAACAACGGCGCTTGTGAGCCCTGCAGCACGATACCCAGCAATTAATTTTGCAATTTGATGGCCTCTCCAGCTCAAAATGTCTGAGAAAACCCATGGAATGTACCTTGGAATAATAATAATATACCTTGGACACCTTGAATCCATTTTACATTACCCATGGCAGCAGTGTTTGCTTTCTAACATTTTTTTTAAGCTAATCAAACACCTAGACCACCAATCTTTCTTTTTTTGCCTGAATTTTTTGGTCTAGAAGACAACACGCTCATACAAAACCTTCTATCGGACTAATTCTTGTCTGAGTCATGTGGGGGTCTCTGGTGATGTAGTCTATTCTTAGAAACTGTGTGCAACACTACCAGTATTTCTTTCCACTTTATGTATCATTACTTCCTTAACCATTTTAGCTTCATGCTATGTAGTCATAATTGTTATTGTGGAATTTGAGCAGACAGTGTAATCTAACGGTTGGTGCACTGGACTGCACTGAGTCTTTGGTTTGTTCTTGGACAAGTCAAGACACTTTGTTCTCACAGTTCTCTCACCACCCCAGTGTACAATAATTATTGTTACTTGGTGACTTCAATGCTGGGGGCTAACCCTGTAATTGGGGGGGACTAGCATCCCGTGTAGGGTGTGGGAGAGAGGAGAAATTCTTTATATCACGTTAACCTTCAAAACCAGAATAAGCTGAGAGTTTTGGATCACTTGGCCTGACACAGATTCTACCTTGCCTTCATAATTTGTCATACCTCTCCCCTAGTCAGGTTGAAAAAAGTCTGATGACTTATTTTTAATTGTATAGTTTGTAAAACATAGAAAGTAAGGCTGTCATAAAGGTTAAACAATTTCCTGTTTCTTACTAGATACAAAACATAGAAGTAACAATGAAATTATCATTTTGCTGAGACTTGGAGGAAAAATAATCATTTTGAAACGTTGGATTCCATATCAAGTGAGTCATAATTTCTTTGTGTTTGGTTTCGTGTACTACTAACCAGGAATGCCAGTGTACAGTGCAGGTGGAGACTTTTAAACAAATAGAGATGTTACTGTTCCATTGTTTCACTGTTTACATACACTGTATTTAGCTATTTCAAGAAACTGTTGTTATGTGGCCATACTACACGTTAGCCCTTCAGGGGAAGGGTGTACAGAAATTCCCTAAAATGGCAATGCCTGGGTTTGCATTGTTCGTGAGTTTTCTTTTCCAGGAATAAAACACAGCAGAGGAAGTACTTTTCATGAATATAAATTTTAAATAATCTTAACAAAGTTAACCTAAGATTGGATGAATCTACAAGTAATGCAATAACCTTTTCTGAAGGCTAGCATTGTGAAGTAAAATAAAATCAATTCACTGTCACTTATTACAGCAGAGGGGAGTATATATTTTACCTTCAAGTACATCTCAACTGTTTCTCCATGGATCCTGGACAGATTTTCTCAGATAATTCTCTTGAAAAGCCTCTATGGTCTGAACATTCCACTGGGGTTAGATTTTCTCAGATAATTCTCTTGAAAAGCCTCTATGGTCTAAACATTCCACTGGGGTTACAACTTCGCAAATCACGTACATCGTACCGGCCGTTGTTTAGCATTTCAAATAAGGGAAAACAAACAATTTACTACAATGTTCTTTTCAGTAGTAAAGGTGATAATAAATCTTGTCGTCAAAATGAGTAAATGTCACATAATCTGGGTGGATGCTTTGGTGATACGATTGTAAAGGATTGGAGAGCAAAATGCTTGAATGTGGGCTTTTTTTGGGCAACATGTGCATTGCATGCCGGTTGACTGACAGTCCTTCCAAGAGCTCAAGGTTGTCATAAAGGTTAAAGCAGTTCCCATATATTCCTTACTAGATACAAAACCAGAAAACTGTGTGCCGAGACGTACATGGAGAAAGATTTATATTGAGGCAATAGATTCCATATTAGGGGAGTCTAATGTGTTTCTTTTTGTGTGGTTAGAGAGGTTATCAGTGACTCAATTTTACCTGTGCTAGGAATAATGGCACTCAATCAATGCAGGCAGAAAATTAAAACAGGTAGAGATGTTAATGTTTTGCACTGCAGCTCAATTCGACTGCATTGTGTTCTTGGACAAGACAGGTTACTCTCACTGTGCCTCCCTCCACCCAGAACAGCATTGCCTTGGTCAGGGAAAAGTCAGGGAAAA